CTCGGACTCTGTACCTATCTTGTGGTATCGAGGCTCGATACTTACGAGTTTTTTTTTTTTCTTTTCTTTCTTTCCCCCTCCCCCCCGCCCAACTGCGCACGACACGCGCTCATCATGGACTTATACGTGGATACCATAACGTGTACAGTTTTACTGTATATCTCTCGCATAGATTTACATGCTTGTATCGTCTGCATCATCAAATGGCTTGTGTATAATGACTATAACGTGTAGATGTAACGTACGGAAAATGGTCCCGTATGTGTAATTCGCTTAGCCAGTCATTTATATGTACACACATAGCTCATCCGCGGACGACCGGCCGGCGCCCGGCGTCCGTATGTATATGATACAGGTTTTTTTTTTTTTTTTTTGTTTTTTACTCGTCATAGTTTCCTCTTATTCATGACAAACCCCGTTTTTCTGTGACATATTCATGTAATTTATTAGGTTCACTCGCGGGTAATTATGGGTCGAGCAATTACATCAATAATGGAAAGCGGACGGCGCCTCGCCGTGGCTGTGCATGTGTGAACGGACGAAACGGCTTTTGCTTCAAGAGTTACAGCTTGCGCGTGAGATTAAACATAAATGATCCGAGGAGGGAAAACTTGGAGTGACCGATCGATTTGCCATTGGCGCCTTTGTATCAATATGTAGAGCATCCGAGCGTATGTATGTATATAATTCAAAGTGTGTGGGCAGAGCTGTTCGTGCAGGGAGGGAAAAGTGCGAAAAACAGAAAATAAGAAAAAGAGTTATGAACTTGGGCGTGGGCGTGCACCTCGACGCGTGTGCGTGTGTGTGTATAATATAACATGTATGCGGTGTGTACGGAGGCGCTGAAAAATTTGGCGCCGGCTTTCGCGTGTGTTCTCGGTATAAGCCGCTTTCAAGGCTGCTGGAGAACACAGCCTGGAACGCACATCTATTTTTTTCTTATGAGCAACAGATTTCCCTTTTTTTTTAAATTTTATTATTTATAGATTTACGTACAATTGTTTTATTGGCTTGTAACTTGTAACTTTCCATGGACAATTCAGCAAGCTCTTCCACCATTTTTTCTAAAGAGGTACAATTTTCCTTTAAACAATAAAAATAACAGTCATAAGTACACCCATTGCCATTAGCTCAAAGAAACACGTACAGGTATACCTGGATAATTTTTATGTAAAAACACGTTCTCTCCTCATCTTTAACCCTTTTTCCTTACAGTATAGGTATACTTGAAAAAAGAAAACAAAAAAAAAAAAACAAAAAAAAATCCTCAAGCCCATCGATCAGAGGCACGCGTTCGAGCTCCGGCGAGCAAATTGATCGATCTCTGCAAAACTCCTCTTTCAGACTCCTTTTGCGCGGATCTACGTGTATTACACTATACCATGTAGGAGGCGCCTGCTGTTACCGTATACCCGCTTGCAGTATACATATATATATATATATATATATTTTACCTTACGCCCCGCGAGATTTCCTGTCCGTAGGTACTTATCCGTGTATGCACATGTACAAGATGCACACATCTCGTGCTCTCGGCACGCGGTCAGTACAAAGTATGAGGTATAAGAGATGTGGTTGTATAGGAAAGAGAGCCGGCTTCGCGGTGTAACACTAGTCGTTGCCGGTTTTCGTTGTAACCGGTAATACGGGAACGAGGCAGCATTGCGCGCGTGAAAACGGCAAAAGTAAAACAACGCGATAACCGGTCATGAGTATACAGTATATTATATACCGAGAGAGTTTCTTTAATTTAATTATCGGCGATGCGTTGTTTTTTGACCGGTACGGCATCACACCCACGCGAATCGGCATAAAATCGTGCGATCGCCGATCATCGCGATGCTTGTTATTAATTTTGTGCACGCAAATGAATACGATTATCATCGATCGGCTGTTTAATCTTAGTCGTCGTCGGATCATTGATGTAACAGTCAACGATACACGAAAAAGATCGCTTACCCCTAATGCAGATGGCTACGATGGCCCCTCGCTCTTATCTCCGTAAAAGCTCGTCGAAAAAATAATATACGTCCTCGTCATCACGAGGAGAGAGAGAGAGAGAGAGAGAGAGCTCTCATCGGCCCGACATTTACATCATCCTCCGATGACGCGTCCATAAATTGTCCTCCCGTTCGCATTCCACGGGCAATCAAGATTCCGCTCTCCCGATCTCAATCGAGGTCTCTCCTCCCTTGCATTTGCTTTTATCGCGATTTTATTGACATCCCCCCCTCGTCTCATCCTCTCCGCGCTAAACATCGGCAAGATCTGTTTGTTTTTGTAATTGCTCTCCCCCTCCCCTCCCTGGGATTTCTCGGTCTGTTTTTTTAAAGGAGTTGGATCAATAAACCGAAACGAGGGGAAGCTCGGTATTTCCTCAAATATTTAATCCACGGCGTTGATTGAAGACTCGAGCTTCCTGCCGGGCTTTGCCTCCACCGGGTCGTGTTATTTCTGGGCTATCGGTGCAGCGTGTATATAAACACCAAAGGTATAAAGAAAAGATGCTGTGTATCCGCGGGCACCCACCACGTGCTCTCTCTTTCTTTTCTCTCGCGGTGTAAGTGCGCGCATGTATAATATATATATATATACACAACAGCGCGTGGCTATTATTAAACCCACTACAGTTTGGATTTGTATGGGTGTGTGTATCGAGGAGTGTTTGCGTGATCGTTACAAGCTGGTTATGGTCCGCAGAAGTGTGCGCGAATTTCGAGAAGCAATGAAACGAGAGCGAGAGAGGAGGATAAAAAAAAAAAGAAAAAAAAAAGAGATCGTATGTGTCGTTTATGCGCATATGGTTGTAAAAAATTACGGTACGTAGGTCCGATATTGAAGAAGCTGTAGGTTTGTTGTGTTATTTAATGTGGTCATCCCCATAAGTCGTTTGCAATTTTAAATAGAGATGCCTTTTAACTGCTGATTTAACAAATTGTGATTGGAATTTGGAAACTTCGCGATAAGAGCTTTCAATTGAGAATTGTTGAAACAGGTGACAGCGATGGTGATGCTGGGGCGTAAAAGTTACGCGACTCTTGTGAAATTTTGACGAAAGCTCGGCAATTTTGAGTATGACTTTTGGTACAACATATTTGAAAGCTCGATTTTTCACTAGAGCTTTTGTTTCATAACGCTTACTCAAAATCAAGGTCCTCACTGTGAACCTTGACGTGAACTACTTATTCCCTATTTTGGATTTTTTTTTGTTTTTTGGTCCCAAATGCGAGTTCGCATGATGGTCCCGTTTATAATACGAGCTAGGTAACTCGGCTGCTTTGCGCGACCAGCATATAGACACACATGAACACTGAGCAGTAGATTTATGTACCCCATTTTAAGGATTTATGCTCTTCCGCATATCATTTGATGATTACGTACATTTTATTGTTGCTTATTATACAATTATATTCAATTATTGTTGCTGGTGTAATTCCACGCGAATTTGATTAAAAATGAGGGATCTTTTTCGAGAGTAAGAATTTAACAAAAGGAAGTAATGAAAAACAAATCCAAAATATTTTGCGTTACAAAGGCGTTTGTTACCTCTTAGGAGCATAAAAAGCATGACGATTTAACACCTCACGAATGATAGCATCATTCAAATAATTACAAAAATGTAACCTTCCGTTGGTTTGCGATTTCTCATTCTCGCTCTTTTCCCTTTGTCAACGAGATGAGGCACACACAGCAGCTTATTATTTCGCCAACAAAAACGGCCCAACAAAAGCGAGAGTCGAGCGTAAGAAAAGCTGCAACGCGACAATTACCCCGAGCCGATGCGTTGTAAATTGAGAGCACCCGAAGATATATGTATTCATATTATACACTTGCGAGGCTTCTTCTTTTTCCCCTACCGTATACATATTATATACATGTACATGTATAAGTTTTGGAGCGAGGGAGTTCACGTACAAGGTAAATCATTCACGGTTGATCTTTGACATGGATTCACTGTTCGCGTTGACCCTCTAAAGAGTTTGGTGGTGCAGCGCTTTCGAACAATATCGGTAGACGCGATCGCACACACAAGTGCATAATAGGTGTATACACCCATCGATTCCACACAGTAGCGCGGACAGCTGTTTCCTCCTTAAGTGCTATTGATCGAGGGAGCTGCCGTTGCACTCTATATCCATGCGCGCGCGGTAATTTTTCAACGAGCCTGTTTGTGCGCGGCTCGCGTATGGACTTTGAGACCGAGAGCCTTCAGATAAGGAATTATCGGTACATACATTACACAGCGCGGCCACGTCCAAGTGTGTCGGCGCACTTGGATAATTATTAAATGTATACCGTAATTAATGAGCGCTCGTTCCTTTTGTTCGTGGCAGACGCCTTGTTTGTTTCCACGTACAATGTTTTTAATATACATATATATGTATATATACACACGCGGATAAAACGTATGATTGCGGGGTTTATTTTTACACACGAAAGGTGCATCTTGATTATTATTTGTTAACCGATGAAGAGGGTGTTGTTGTACAATGTGCTTTAGCCTGGAAATTTGTTTTCATCAAGGCTTCGCTATTGTTTGATTCGATGTAATCGTCGCTTGCGATAACGAGGGGACGGGGGTGTGATTAATCCAATTGTATTCTTTACCGATCAATCGCAATATAGCCACTGTTGTTTGATCAGATATCACGACGATATGACAGTTCAAGGTACATGTAAACAATCTGTGCTAACGTAATCCGTAACATCGGGACTTGCGTTTTTTTACACTTTGCCATATAAACATTGAATCATCTCCATCATCTTTATACAATCAATGTTGAAACTAATGGCATTTATACGAATAAGTAAATTCTACATACTGAAGCATGACAAAAAGCGTATGTATTCGTAAACCTGGTCGATTTTACCGAGTCTCGGAGTAAGTGTATACTTCGGAGCCACATTTGCGGATAACCGATCGCTACCGATTTTCTTCCTTGTAGGGAGAAAATAAAAGGAGTGAAATAAAGTAAAAGAAAACAAAAAAAAACGCCTACCGGCAACATCGGCATCGGGGTCTGTCGACTTGTCCTCATCGACGTCGGACACCATCTCGTAGTCTACGTCACCAGTGAGATCGAAATCAATCGCTTCGGCCGGTGCCACTGACTCGGACGCCGCCGCCGCGACGGCAGCAGCGACGGCCGACGTCGCGACACACAAAAGCGTCGCCAGTGCGATCAACAGCTCCCGTGGCATCGTATCGCTCTTTTAGGTGTACTCCCTCTTTTTTTTTTTTTTTTCTCCCCCGCGTCTCGGTGAACGCACTTCTCCCAAGTACTCGTATACTACACTCGATTTTTCAACCCTTGGCTATTGCAGTCGTTTGCTACTGTTTACGACACCGCGTTTATTACGAAGGTGGCGCACACGCGCACATGTACAACTGTGTGTCCTTGTCGATCGGCGTTGAGAATCGGTATTGGCCACCGATGGCGATCTATATTCAAAGTCACAGATCGCACGTGTGCAATAATTTATTTTCGAGTGATCGTCGTTTTGAAAATCGCCCGAAACCGAGGTAAAATCGGCATAAAATCGGCACTGGCGGAAACCGATAAGTAAGTACACACTGTGATTAAACGAGGTTTTTTTTTTCAACGAGGACGACAAAGACCAGCTCGACGAAGCGCTCGGCGGCGACTGAGTGCGAATAGCCGTGCTGGCTCTTGGAAAAGGTCGTTCGGCGCTCCGTTTCTCTTTTGAAGAAGGAGAGAGACGGCGGCGCTTGAAACCGGCGCGCCGTCGTGGTGGTGGTGCACCCGCTACCTACTCTCTGTGTATAATATAGGTACCCTCGACTCCGGTTGGCAGCCGAGCAGCAGGCAGGCAAGAGTCAGGAGGACGTGCGTGTGTGCATGTATACGTTGGGCGCCAGCAGGCGCAGGGGAAACAGAGAGGAGAAAGAGAGGCAGCACGTGCAGGGGAGAGATCGGTTTGTATCGTTATACGAGAGCGCGCGTTGTAAGTGTGTGCGGCTGGCGCCTGGGGCCAGAGAGACGCCAAAGACGAGGCGAGCGTTATACTTAGGTATACCTATTCGTGTGTGTGTGTGTGTGGCGGCGCCGAGCCGGTGGGTATACAGAAAGCAGCACGTGTGCGATGCGCCAGAAGCTCTATAGCCCGGCTGCGGACTCGCCAAGAGGGGTGCGAGGGACGCCATGCGGACGGGTGTTCACGAGGCTGTCATTTTTCATGTTTTATTTTGGTGAATTTTTCATTTGGGAGAAAAAAAAAAATTTTTTTTCTGATCCATGGAAAACCATACCGATCGGCGGTGATCGGTTGTTCCAGCGAGAGCTTCGCGACCGATCGGTTGGATAAAAAAGCCGCGTCCACCGGATGAGTTTTCGGGGCAACTGAGTATTAATTTTGTCGGTCGCAGTACTTATTTAGTTTAAGCAAAAGAAAGAGATCGGTTTCAAGTTTTTTTACCTTTAATGTGGTGAAATCTAAAATAATCCAAGAAACCAGCTTCATCGCAACGATATACATACAGCCCAAGGTATCTTGGTCAAAGTGACGAGTAAAAAGTTTGAGAAAAAGTCAACTGGAACTTTTTTACATCTTGCGCATCCTCATATGTACACGCATCCACATCCGCGGTACAATTAATCTCAAGCGCGGATAAAGAGCGAAAATGAGCGGCATCGCAAGTAAAATCGGGATACACGTACTATGTAAATTTTATATATTATTATAATACCGATCAATATTCATATTCCGTTTCGTCGTGTGTGCAAGCCAATGCGTGGCATATTGTGCACATACTCGTTACATTATCTTGACTCCTTCTGTCTCCGTCGTTGTACCGTATACACCAGCTGAGGTACTTTTTTTCCTCAATTTTTTTTTTCTCGGCATATTTCTCTCGACTTTTTCCTTCTATACAATTCCCTACTCTGGGCCCCGACTTATTTATCACTCGCTCTCGTATGCGCACGTACGTGTATATAAACCGACGTCCCTCGGTGTGCTCTATTTTGGTCCTTTTTATACTTTCAGGCCACCGCATGTGTGTTTGTAATTTCTCTGAGCTGCGTTTTGCCTTTTACGATACTTTTTGCCATCCCGTGACTTACCAATGTCGCTGGGCTACGCTCTTTGCAACGACAGCAGCAAGTACCTTTTTTTATTTGTTTTTTTTTTAATTGCATTTTTGATGCAGAACTGACACAACGAGTGAGAGAGAGAGAGAAAAAAATTGTTTAGTTTATTTGATTACCGTCTCGTGTAGTTATCTGAAAAATTGACCGGCTACGTCTGTTATTCAGATTTATCATAAAAACATCACGTAATGTCAAAATATTACATCGAACGTATAGCGCTCGCTATTGGTGCAGATTGTATTATCATCTGGCAATGGATCCTCCGCATTTCAAGCGACACTCCGATGCAAGGTCAAAAGAGTTCTCTGGCCGATTGAAATTACGCGCAAAAGTTATACATCACTCCCGGCACAATAAGACCTCGGCGATTCCATCCTCATATATATATCGCAATATNATTGATGCTCGGGTGAATAAACGATTGATGTGTTACGATTTATTAATTTATACAACTACTTAAACGCCAAAACGGTGGCTACTGCCGTAATTACGTATAATTATAATGTTAGTGGTGGTAGTTATAATAATAATAATAATAATAATAATAATAATTGAAAAAGTTTAATTTATTATATATACGAGTGTACCTGTCTTTGCTTACTTGTCCATCAACATTTATTTTACTTCAACAACGCGCAATTTAAAGTCTAGTCCACAGTAAATTGACAAGCTATTTTTTTTACGTATACATAGCAAAAAGTTGAAGAATGAAGGCTCGTGCCTCGAATGGATCAGGCTGCCGATGGCCAACAAAAATGTATATGCACAAACGCAGCAAAGACAGCAACAACGATAGCATTCCCTTTAAAGTATCCTCCCAAGCTTCATTTTTATTCACCAAGAACTATAATAAAGTATACCATATCGGTCTCTCCTCCACCTTCGCTTTCTCTTCCCTGTCCGTCTTCTCTTATCGTCGCTCCCGCATCGAATTGCGAAGAAGAAGAAGAAGAAGAAACACCTGCGGGGGCTCTTTCTCTCGTATATTTGTGTGTGTATTTACACGTGTGCATAATACATATATATACACATGTATATACAATGTGGCATCGCATTGTACATGGGCTTATTGAGACGTGACGACCGGCTGTTTATTCCCTCCTTCCTCTCTCCTTTATTCCTTCCGTCGGGCGAATTAGCACCTCGATTTATATCGACAAGGGGGTCGCTCCCTCCGAGCTCCATATACGTATACCTATACGTCACCTTATCTTTTTTTCATTCGTCTTTATAATGCCATTCCAATTGATTCTTCAAATAAAGATGTCTCTCTCTCTCTCTCTCTCTTGTCCCAAATATATTCGGTAATTTCACTGAGATGACATTTGTGCCTCGAGATTTATCGTAATCACAATCACGCTGTATCTGAAAATTGCACGCAATGAACCTTTTGCCCGTCGTACGTTGTAGCCCAAAATCAGAGATTCCCTCGATTCTTCGAGCATCATTATGGTGTAAACGACGTTTTTCAGGAGACTCGCGCAAAACGGAAACATCCCATTTTCCCATTGCCCCCCTTTCCGCGAAGTTCCAGCAATAATACCTACCTCGTTTGGCAATCGCAACTCATTCCGACGTCCGTATACGTGATGGAAATCCTCGAGTTCGCCGCGAAACGTAAGGAACTATTATTACCACCTCAAGTGGGGCTCTCGTGCAAATCCCTCCCCCCAGAAAATTGGTCACAGGCACACGCGCTCGTCATCGCACGCACGGTATAATGCACATTGCGTATATATACTTACCCTCTCAAAATTAATTGCTATACGTGTGTGTACAGATTTTAGACTCAAATCACCGTGCGACGTGTTATTATAATTGTACGCTGAAGGAGGGCAGCGTAAAGAAACGTCCAATGCCCATCCCCTTTGGTCTGACCACAGCTGAAACTACTTACTTGTTGAAAAAAAAAAAAACAAAAAAAAAACGAAGACGAGCTGATGAAACACGAATAGCTTCCAACTGTTTTGTCTTTGTCATCTTCTTTGGATTATAACATAGGAGTCGAATCTCTTGTGTATACATAAACACATATACATGTGTATTTATATGCACATTACGAATGTGCGTGAGAGAGAAAAAGAAGCACAGGAAGGGAATGACTCGTAGAATAAAAAGAATTCGTCTTCGCATGGGAGAGAGAGAGAGAGAGAGAGAGAAAAAAAGGGAAAGGAACTGATGGTCGTATACGGCCTTTCCAGTGGGAGGAAAGAGGATGGAAGGAGTCGAGTGCGTGTGTGTACGGCTATACGACGACGGCATCAGTCAAAGGGACGCCTCCTCCTGCGGGAGTCTCTCTCGTTCTAAATTGAGGATGAATAGGACCTTTTTTTTTTTTTTTTTTTGTTGCGTCATTTTCTTTCTTTTTTAATAAACAGCAAACCTTTTTGTTTTTTTTCAATATCGACATCGTCCCCGAGACAAGAAATGGTTAAAATGTTATGCGCGTAAAAAAGATCGGTATAAGTAATCATGTAGACGTTTGCTTTGCCATTGTGTACACACAACTTGTTGAACAACATACTATGGACGAAACAAGGATGTAAAAAAAAAAATAAATAATACATAAAAAAGTACCATCCGCGCGATGATGATCGGTAAGGAGCGAGAGGAACCTTTTGACCATTTACAATGTCATCGGTATTACGTAACTGCGCGACCAGTGTAATTATCAAAATATAAACAAAGAAAGGGTGAAAAAAAAAAAAAAAAAAAAGAGAGAAACAGTGGGAGTAGAGTAACGATAAATAAATATACTCCGAAGGGGAGAGAAGAGCATTGTAGCGGTATGTCCACAAACATGTTGGAACAGGCATAGGTTTATACAGCCATTCTTGTGAATGGTCCGGGGCCTCCTCCAAAAGTTCATTCTTCTTTCTCGGCTCCTCTCGACCGGGAGACAAGGGAGAGAGAGAGAGAAAAAAAAAAGAGAGCGGCTACGGCAAAGGGAGAGGGTCGGAAGAAAAAGACCATATCTTATTTGCCGCACAAGAAGCAGGGGGACACTGCGGAGAGGGTCCTCTCGACGGCGACCGCAACCAGGTAGAAGAAGAAGAAGACCTGCGCTACACACGGTGGAGGGGGTCGGCGATTCTTATCTCGGGAATTCGGTCGCCCCCTCATCCCCCGCGTGCCCTGGTTAGAGACGAGGGAGATCGCATCCATTTAGCGGGCTGATTGATTTTTTGCCCCTCTCTCCCACTGCATCGTTCGCCTTTTTTTTTTTTTTTTTTTTTAGGTCCACCCGCGTCCGTACACACTACTCCCGGAGAGATAAGCATCGAGGCTTGCTAATGCCGCGCACACGTTTCCCGGAAAAGCCGGGCTTGGTTTTCCGGAAACAAGCGCCTCCTTGTTTCTCCCCCACCCCCATCTCTCTTCTGTTTTTTTCAGATATTTCGAAAATGATGCACCGAGGGAGGGTCCTCCGAGGGGCTATCTCTCCTTGCGGTGCGTAGTCGAGGCTTTTAAGCCTGTTATCCGAGCTTGGCTTAAGTGAGGAACTGTGTTCGGGA